AAATGGCTCTGTCCGTGTTAAAATATACTTTAAAAAATTTACAAAACTAAACAGCCTACAGTATTTTTAGTCTTTTATTTTACAGTTAAAATATATTTTTATCAAATAAAGTCTAATGTTAAAACTAATCGGGGATCCATTAAAGACAATCAGCTGATGAACGTTTTGTGTGCAGGAGGAGGCCAGCAGCCTGTCCATCTTCAGTGGTGAAGAAGAGAAGTTTGCCTTCCAGAGGACAGTTTCCCGCCTCACAGAGATGCAGACAGAAGATTATTGGTTGGAGGGAGACAGAAGTTTAAAACAAGAGTAAGACTTGGAAAAGGACAAAACACTACCACAGAAACTGTCGTCAAACCTGCCGTATCAGCCTACACCAACACATACTGTCTGAGTGCAGAAACTCTACAGACCATGTTTATTGCTAATTTGATTACCTTTTTTCATTTTATTGCACTTTATAGGTTATTTTAAATGAACCTTAGGGTCTTGCTCAGGTCCAAGTTTTTATTTTCCTGGAAAAGCGCTGGACAAGTTTTGGAAAAAGACCATCAATGAAGATTTAAGAAGCCTCTTTATCTATTTTTATGCATTTGAAAAATAAAAAATGAATTAACTTATGAAGTGTGGCAGCAGACTAACTTTGGGATTTAAGTTGATTTGACCCATTTTTCATAGAATAACTGGTTCCGTCTGTTTATCTGCCCTAAAAGGGAACAAACGTATCTACTGTATGTTATATCACTTCAAGGGTCTTCTGTGTTCAGGGGCCTCATGCATAAAGGATTGCGCAGCTTTCACACTAAAAGTTGACGTACGGACAAATTTAGAAAAGTGCGCCGCACCAAAACATTCAGATGTATTAATCCATGTGTACGCAGGTTCCTGCGCACCTTTCCTTTATACATCCCAACGAACGTGGAACTGATACACCTGAGACTCCTCCCCTGACACGCCTCCATTTAAATCATAAAATAGATGTAAATGTGTCCAGGTGTGAGATTCTCCTCCGATTCCTGTCTGTGGGATCAGAAATGATTTTTAGATGCAGGAAAATTATACATTAAATGGAGAATGAGTGAGAAAACTGTCTAAATAAGGAGTGGGGTTACATTGTTTTATATGGCGCATTCGCACGTGATAACCAAAGCCTGAGGTTTTCCTGAAATTTACAGACATCTCCTGAATGTGATGTTGAAGCCTGGTTAGTTGTTGTCTATTTAGTTGAACACAACGTTGAACGGATGTTTTAAAAAATAAATAAAAATGAAATAAAAAAAACCCAATAAACATTACGTTATCCAATTCTTCCTCTCTCCTTCCCTCCTGCGTTACGTCAGGCGCTGTCATCTCCACGTACAGACCCCCACCCCACCCCCACACACAGGTACAAGTGGTAGCCTTCGGATTTTTAGTAAAAAATATAGGTTTTTGAGGCTCATGAGACAGGTAAATAATGTCCAAATGGGTTGACATATATGAACACCTTCCCAGCTGGCGTGAGAATCTATCCAAAGCGCGAGCCTGCTGTGCTACGGCCACAACTCAACTCAGCATCAGCCAGAAGACAACAAACAGAAAAAATAATTATTCTTACCGTACAGTGAGCCACCATTTGCATCCGATTTTGCTCCCTCTCTTCAGCCTTTTTTTATTTTATTTATTTAATGCTGAACGTAATGTGTCGGGTTTTTCTGGCCCGAGACCCAAAAGGTTTTCAATTATGTGACAAAAATATAAAACCAGTTTACAGACTGGACTGAGGTTCTTTTGATCATCTTTAGACTGATCTATTTTCTTGTCTGAGGTTAAACGATTTTCAGTCCCGAGGTTCAGTTTCATCATCGTTCAGTTTAAACAATAAAAACTCAAACTAAAATAAAAATCTAACAGCGTGTTCAGACGCTCCTTACATCCAGAAAACACAACAGAGCCGTATTTCTGTGGATTCAGGTCAGATTTGTGACTTTGTGGGTTAAAACTGTCGACTGAAAAACTTTGCGTGTCTGCTGCACATTCTCACAGCAGATGAAAAGTGTGTAAATATATGCACACTTTCACGCAACGTTGGTTTTGATACGTCCCAACATGGGCGTAGAACCTGGCGCACGTAACTTTTTTGTGTGTACGCACCGTTTATACATGAGGCCCCTGATCTGAACAAACTGAACACTTGTTTATGTAATTAAGTTTTCCAAAAATGTCCTTTATGTAAAAAAAAGTCACATATGAACTATTGAAAACAAAGGCTGTAATGTGTGGGAAGAGAAAGTGAACATTTCATGAACAAAGTGTTTGTGGTGCCAACAGATGGTTAGAATAAATAAAGATAAAATAATGTCATTGTTTACAAAACAGACATCCAAACAACATACAGACAATTTCAGAGTGACCACAGTTTGTTTCGTTCTGATTCAGGATATTTGTCCACCTTAATCTTCAGCGACATCCATAGAAATGTACTGCCTCTTTCTCTGTTTGAAGGATAGTTTAAAGTTTAAAGGATATATATATATATATATAGGTGAGCAGAAGTAGTGTTGCAGTACAGGCATGTTGTGTAGAGTTGTACATTGTGTTGAGCAGCTCTTTCTGTTCTCCCTGCGGTCATGGAGCCAGCCTTTGGGATCAGCTTGTTCATATTTGTCAGTTGCTGCTCTGATGCTGCTGCACCAACAGATGGCTGTGGAGAAAACTGCACTCTTCCCTCAGAACAGAGGATTTTACAACCGTCTGCTGCACCGGACAACAACCGTCTGCTGCACCGGAGAACAACCGTCTGCTGCACCGGACAACAACCGTCTGCTGCACCGGACAACAACCGTCTGCTGCACCGGACAACAACCGTCTGCTGCACCGGACAACAACCGTCTGCTGCACCGGACAACAACCGTCTGCTGCACCGGACAACAACCGTCTGCTGCAC